TTCTCCAGAAAGCACTGAATCCAGCTGATATTGGATCTGGACCACACTTGGCACACAGACCCAACATGATCAACTTTGAATACTGGCAGGGTTTGGGGAGGATTGACTCACAATTCCGGGAACTGTAGTTCACCCACATTCTTATGCATTTCCTATTGGGGTCATTCATTAAAAAACTAAAGGAAAGATTGGCTTTTTTCTAATAAATAGTGTTAGACATTACCAAACTGGTATTAATAAAGGTAAAGGTAAAGGTTTTCCCCTGACATTAAATCCAGTTGTGTCCAACTCTGGGGGGTGCTGCTTATCTCCATTTCTAAGCCAAAGAGCCGGCACTGTCCGTAGATTCCTCCAAGGTCATGTGGCCAGCATGATTGCATGGAGCGCCGTTATCTTCCTGATGGAGTGGTACCTATTGATCTACTAACATTTGCATGTTTTCGAACTGCTAGGTTGGCAGAAGCTGGGACTAACAGCAGGAGCTCACGTCGTTCCCCAGATCTGAACCTGCGACCTTTCGATCAGCAAGTTCAGCAGCTCAGTACTTTAACCCACTGTGCCACAGGGGCTTCAAACTTCAAAAAACAAACAATGCCTTTCTCAAACAACCCGGATTTTTAAAACAGTCTGTCACAATTAGAACAAAACAGGTAGAAATTGCACATTAGAAGAATGAAAAAGTAGCCTACTTTGGAGTGAAATGAATCTAGGTCAGGTATGGGCAAACGTGGGCCCTGCAGGTGTTTTGGACTTCAACTCCCAGAATTCCTCACAGCCTCAAGTCTCTTTCTTTCCCCCCTTAAGCGGCTGAGGGGGGAAAGAAAGAGACCTGAGGCTGTGAGGAATTCTGGGAGTTGAAGTCCAAAACACCTGCAGGGCCCAAGTTTGCCCATGTCCGCTCTAGGGGATGTCGGCATGAATTAAAGTGTGAAAATAATACCTGGAAGACACTGGTTCAAATCCTCACTCAGACATGAAGCTAATTCAATACCCTACCCTACAAGATTCTTGGATGAATTAAATGAGAGCAGGTTATATTTGTACCCTTTTGATCCTTGGAGGAAGAGATCTGATGGAGCAATCAATACTGATCAAGGACTGCCCTATTGTACATATTAGTTCCACAAGGAAAAACTTTCTCCATTAACATGCATAGCATTTGGCATGAATACATCCATCTATAACGAAGCAACGATACACTATTTCTCAATGTTTGTCTACAATGGCAATAGGCAACCAATGTACTATGCTTGAATTATAATTTAGCACCAGACAGCTAGCGCTTTATCATGAAGGCAACATTAAAAAAATTACCACGTCCAAAACAGATATGACTGCAATCACATGATACAGCCTTTTCCAGCCCTGGGCAAAAGGTATCTTGGTACCACATATGCCCCTTAGCAGCACACAATGTTTACAATGCAGAAGACACATTTCCAAAGGAAATAGTTACCGGCCTGCAGTACAGCCCTCTCCAACACTAGGATGCAGCTTTCCTGAGTACTATCCAACAATTCAGCAAGGCTCCACAACATCTCTACCAAATGTAAAGTTAGAAAATCAACACTCTCCAGCACCACACAGATGGGCATCCAGGAAAGAGGACTAGACTAGCTTCCTAACACTATAAATAGTACCTTGGGAGGACAGTTGGCCATCTCATTCTTCCAGGTAAGGAAAAATAAACTCAATTCACTGTTGATTTATCATTTGCCTCACTGATGTGAATGAAAAGCCAGCAGCAATTTCACTGAAAACCTGACAATCCCTGAATCAACTCCCAAATGCACATTTACTTGAAAGTCAGTCCCAATGACTTTGGTGGAGTTGATTCCCTAGCAAAAATAACAAACAAGCATTATGGCATCTTGAATTAATGTAAGACATGATTACGGTATGTGACTTGGTGTGTCCTCAGGCACATTTGGACTAAGAAACTCCCCCAACCAAGTACTCTCCAGATGCACTGGCATAGGGATGCTGGAAACTGCCATCTAATCTACCTGGACATGTTAAAATCATAGAGTTGGAAGAGACCTCATGGGCCATCCAGTCCAATCTCCTGCCAACAAGCAGAGAAACTGCATTCAAAGCAACCCTGACAGATGGCCATCCAGCCTCTGTTTAAAAACCTCCAAAGAAGGAGCCTCTGCCACACTCTGGGGCAGAGAGTTCCAATGCTGAACAGCTCTTACAGTCGGGAAGTTCTTCCTAATGTTCAGATGGAACCTCCTTTCTAGCAGTTGAAGCCATTGTTCTGCGTCCTAGTCTCCAGGGCAGAAGAAACAAGCTTACTCGCTCCTCCTTATTACTTTCCCTCACATATTTATTCATAGCTGTCATGTCTCTGTCAGCCTTCTCTTCTGCAGGCTAAACATGCTTAGCTCTTTAAGCCACTCCTCATAGGGCTTGTTCTGCAGACCCCTGATCATTTTAGTCGCCCTCCTCTTGACACATTCCAGCTTGTCAGCATCTCCCTTCAATTGCATGTCCCAGAACTGGACACAGTGTGATTCCAAGTGTGGTCTGATCAAGGCAGAATAGAATGTTGGCCCATCTCTCTAACCTGTTCAGATCGTTTTGAATTCTGCTCCTGTCTTCTTCCTTGAAAGGGGAAGGCTTGTGCTATAAACCAGCTGTGGGTCCCCTGTGTTCCCTATATCGATGCACTGCAGTTCCTGCCAGCCACAGCCTATATAACATAGTCATGCTAAGGATGATGGGGTTTGTAGTTCAAAAACATTTAGAGGGCTGCAGTTTCCTTCAAAATCAACCAGACAGTTCCAAAATGCCCTGGTATTCTCTCGTAGGTTTTACTGCAGGCATTGCCAAAGTTGGCCTGTGCCTGTTTAACTGCAGGTTAAACAGGATTCACTCCCAATCAGCAGGCACAGGACTGGCAGATGAAACTGGCACCCCTTCCTCAAGTGTGTGATTTTGTGCCCCCCTTCCATATAAATCAATGCTGACCTAAGCCCATCTTGGCCCACCCTGCTCTCATAGGAGATAGTATGGTCCTCTTCCATGCCAACCAACACTAACCTAAGGCCATTTTGGCATTCTGTGCTCTGTCTGGCTGTGGCATGGCTGGGAAGCAGCCAAGGTCTCAAAAACTGGTGCAACTGAGTTGTTTACCTAAGCTCTCATGGAGCCTCAGAAGTTGTACAGTCAGACTTGCAGTGTGTGCCTGGTCCTCTTGCATACCAACTGGCACTGACATAACATAGCTTCAAGGTTGTTGTGCTCCTCTTCCTACCAATCATGCCCCTTTTATGTGGGCATCTCTTGGGCAGGTTCAGCGATACTTCTGGCCTGCCTGTTGGGTTTCATCAGTTGCTTGTACTATCAAGTCTCCAGACCACAATGAGTACAAGTCCTTTGTATCATCGAGTCTCCAGACACCCTATGTCTGCGTCCTACACAACTGGAGAAATCACACTGCTTAGCCGGTATTGCACCACCTGACATCTGCCAGGAAGTAGCAGCCAATAACGAAAGGACCAAGGCAGTGACATCTCCAGCCCATACCCTGTTTAGATATCAGCAAGCACGCCAATGCTTTAAATGAAGAAATAGTTTTCTAAGATCTACAGAGGCACTTGCAGGAACACCTCAGCAAGCAAGAGTCCAAAAAGGGCAGGCTACAATCCGGAGCCTCAATCCATGGCTAATACCAAATGAGAGACTCCCTCCTGGGCACACAGAAGACTGGGCAACTTGGAAGGCACTGAACAGACTGTGTTCTGGCACCACAAGATGCAAAGCCAACCTTAAGAAACGGGGCCACAAAGTGGAATCCATGACATGTGAGTGTGGAGAAGAGCAAACCACAAACTACCTATGACAATGCAGCCTGAGTCCCGCCACATGCACAATGGAGGACCTCCTTATAGCAACACCAGAGGCACTCCAATGGCCAGCTAATGGACATTTAATATGATGCCAAGCTTTCAAACTTTGTGGGGGGTTTTGTTTGTTTTTTTTAAATACATTACAACTGTATCCTTGGTTCGCTCCCGAAATGATAAATACATAAACCTCCAAACCTCAATGAGTAGACAGACTAAAGATAGGATTAGAGTGAGGGATTCCTCCCCCCTCCCCCAATATTCCTATGCATGCTTTCCCAGAAAGGGCTTTGTCTTCTCCCCTCCTGCTACCCTCCTGAGACAGTGTTATGCTCCTCTTCCTACCAATCACACTCCTTTTATGTGGGCATCCCTTGAGTAGGTACACTGACCCTTCCGGCCTGCCTGTTGGTTTTCATTAGTCTCTTGTATCATCAAGTCTCCAGACCTCATTGAGTATGTCTGTACATAGATTCATAGAAGCATACAGTTGGACCATTCAGTCCAACCGCTTGCCAAGAAGCTGAAAAATTGCATTCAAAGCACCCCCGACAGATGGCCATCCAGCCTCTGTTTAAAGGCTTCCAAAGAAGGAGCCTCCACCACACACTAGGGCAGAGAGTTCCACTGCTGAACAGCTCTCTTGTATCATCAAGTCTCCAAACCTCAATGAGTAGGTCTGCACAAGTCTCTTGCATCATTAAGTTTCCAGACCCCAATGAGAAGATAGACTAGAGCAGGGGTTCTCGAACTGTGGGTCCTGGGATGTTTTGGCCTTCAGCTCCCATAAATTCTCAACCTGTGGCCCCCCAGCCGTTTTGGCCTTCAGCTCCCAGAAGTCCTAATAGATGGGAAACTGGCTGGAATTTCTGGGAGTTGTAGGTCAAAACACCTGGGGACTCACAGGATGGTAACCACTGGACTAGAGATAGGATTAGAGTGAGGGGTTCTTTTCCTCCCCTTCCAGAAAGGGTTTTGTCTTTCCTGCTCCCTTCCTGAGAGGAAGTTGTCCTCCTCTTCCTACCCATCACTTTCCTGTGGGCATCTCTGAGCATGGCAGCCTGCAGCAGAGCATCCCTCTCCTGCTGGCCTCCCTCCTCCTCCTGCAACCCCCACAACAGGTGGGCAGGGCCCTTGCTCCTGACTCACCGCTGGCGTTCTTCCCGCAGATGAGGTGCTGGTAGGGCTGCAGCAGGCCCCAGAGCTCCGAGTCGTTGCTGATGGCTTGCTCCAGGCCCTCCAGGGTGAACTTGGGCGCTTCGTGGGCAGCCACCGCGTTGGCGCTGGCGGCGGTGCTGCTGCTGGCGTTGCTCTCCCGGTCCTTGTTGTCTGGGCCAGAAGCAGCAGAAGCAGCAGAAGCAGCAGCGGGAGGCAGGGAAGCGCTAGCGGCGGCCACGGCGGCGGCGGCGAGGGCAGAAGCCGGGGCTCCAGGAGGGGCTCCCCGGGGTTGGTGGGGGTGCGGGTGGTGATGCGGAGGCGGCGGAGGAGGGGGCAACTGGGGCGGGGGGTTGCTTAGAGGGGGAGGGGGAGGGGGAAGATGCTGCTGCTGCTGTTGTTGTTGTTGTTGTGTCTGGTGGTGAAGCAGGTGAGGGGGAGGAGGGGGAGGCGGCGGGAGGAGCGGGCTGTGCTGGAGGGCCCGGGCGTAGATTTCTCGGAAGAGGTTCTCCACGCCGGCGGCCAGGTAGATGGCGGCGTGCTCGTGGATGCGGAGGGCCACGCGGCTGTCCACCATCCAGCGGTAGAACTTGCCCACGGAGAGGGTGAGTCCGCAGCGGGCCGACTTGCCCCGGCTGAAGCGGTCCCCGGAGGCGCCTCCTCCTCCTCCGCTGCTCATGTTGTAGAGCGAGAGGGCGCCGAGGGCGGCGGAGGTGCAGCTGGACGCCAGGCTCCAGCCCAGCACCATCTCCAGGGCGCTCTGCACCTCGTACTTGGTGCATTTCCCGAAGCGGAGGCTCAGGCGCTGGGCTTCGCGGGCCAGTCTCAGCAGGGCCCGGCCCACCACGGCGGAGAGGCGCGAGACGGCGTCCCGGGAAGCCGCGCATCCTCCTCCTCTTTCCCCTCCTCCTCCGGCACTACTGCGGCTCAAGCTGAGGCTGGTGGAGGAGCTGCTGGAGCTGGTGGTGGCGCAAGAAGGGTGCAAGAGGGCGGCTCGGGGCTCCTTCCTGGCGGGAGGAGGAGGAAGAGGAGGCGGGCGGCGGAGGAGCCAGAGCAGCGCCTCCACCTCGGCCAGGCTCCAGGGCAGCTCCTCGAGGTCGGGCAGGAGGCGGGCGCAGTACTGCCCGGGCCCGCAGCCGCCCAGCGCGCCCAGCTCGCCCTCCTCGCCCAGGACGGTGTTGACGGTGTCGAAGCTGTTGTGGCGGCTGTGCATGGAGGCGGCGAAGGCGGAGGCTAGAGGCGGCCAGCCCTTGGCCCCATGCGCCTTGGCCACCGCCGCCGGGAGGGGGGACTCGGAGCAGGAGGAGGGCTCGGAGCAGCACAGCGACAAGTTGGAGGAGCGCACCGAGTCCGCCGCGCCACCATAGCCCGAGTCCAGCGTCAGATCCTCCAGCGTCCGCACCGCCGTCTTAGCGCGACGTGCCATCGCCGCTCTTCATGCTGCACCGGCAAGAAATAAACTTGGACGACACAGAGAGAGAGCCAGTCCCGGCGCCGGGCCTCTCGCCACTCCTCCTCCGTCCCCCCGAAGCCAAAGAAGTCCCCCCGCTCCCTTCCTTCGCTCTTGTTTTCCCAACTCGTTGCTTCTCCTCCTCCTCCTCCTTCGCCCTCTTCGCTCCTCCGGTCTCTGCACCGCACTGCCCCGCAAACCCAAAGCAGCCCAACCAAAGCGAGAGGAGGAGTGGCCAGAGAGGAGAGGCGTGGCTATGCAAAGCAGCCCTCGCCGCCAGAGCCAATAGCGACGCGAAATGCTAATTTCCCATCGCTACCTTTCCTCCTCCCGTCCCTGCACCGCAAACCTAAAGCAACCCAACCAAAGCGAGGGGAGGAGGGGCTAAGGGAAGAGGGGCGTGGCTATTCAAAGCAGCCCTCGCAGCCTGAGCCAATGGCGGTGCGGGAATGCTAATTTCCCATCGCTACCTTTTCCCCAACACTCCCCCCTCCCGTCTCCACGCACCTCTGAAGAAGCGTCACTTTTTCAGAAGGGGTTCGAGTCGTCTAAATGCCCTTATACACATCCCACAATATGTGCTTTGAGCTGGGTCTTCTGGGGGCCCTTCCACACAGCCCTATATCCCACAATATGTGCTTTGAGCTGGGTCTTTTGAGGGCCCTTCCACACAGCCCTATAACCCACAATATGTGCTTTGAGCTGGGTCTTTTGAGGGCCCTTCCACACAGCCCTATATCCCACAATATGTGCTTTGAGCTGGGTCTTTTGAGGGCCCTTCCACACAGCCCTATATCCCACAATATGTGCTTTGAGCTGGGTCTTTCGAGGACCCTTCCACACAGCCCTATATCCCACAATATGTGCTTTGAGCTGGGTCTTTTGAGGGCCCTTCCACACAGCCCTATATCCCACAATATGTGCTTTGAGCTGGGTCTTTTGAGGGCCCTTCTACACAGCCCTATAACCCACAATATGTGCTTTGAGCTGGGTCTTTCGAGGACCCTTCCACACAGCCCTATATCCCACAATATGTGCTTTGAGCTGGGTCTTTTGAGGGCCCTTCCACACAGCCCTATATCCCACAATATGTGCTTTGAGCTGGGTCTTTTGAGGGCCCTTCTACACAGCCCTATAACCCACAATATGTGCTTTGAGCTGGGTCTTTCGAGGACCCTTCCACACAGCCCTATAACCACAATATGTGCTTTGAGCTGGGTCTTTTGAGGGCCCTTCCACACAGCCCTATAACCCACAATATGTGCTTTGAGCTGGGTCTTTTGAGGGCCCTTCCACACAGCCCTATAACCTACAATATGTGCTTTGAGCTGGGTCTTTTGAGGGCCCTTCCACACAGCCCTATATCCCACAATATGTGCTTTAAGCTGGTTTTCTGGGGGCCCTTCCACACAGCCCTATATCAAGGCAAGAAATCCCACATCACCTGAGTGGACTCAGACAACCCAGTGGGATTTCCTGCCTTGATATTCTGGGTTATAGGGCTGTGTGGAAGGGCCCTGAGAGGTCCTTACTTAATTCCCTTTGGGGGGGGAGGGGGTGTCTTCATACGAACTGAGAAGACCTCAGCTGTGCTGCTTCTCTAGAGGGTGGGATTTGGGGATTTGGGGGTGTGTTCCCTCCTCCTCCTCCTCCTCATTCGACTGCAGGAAGAAAACCACCCGCAGGCAGGCTGCATTTGAAGAGATCCAAAACAGCCGGGTTGTTGGGACGCTCGGAGGGATGAGCCGCGGAGCTGGCCTGTTGTGTCTCTTTCCCCGCTTGCTTCCCTTTGGGAAACGGGCTTCTCCGTTTGCGGGTCTTTCCCCGAGGCCAGGCGCGAGAAAGCAGAGCCGGATGGCAAGCCTTGAGGCAGCTGCAGAGGAAGTCCTTGGGTCCAGTCCTGACAGATGCAGACTGACAGGGCAGGAGCCTGGGAACCTTCTGGCGTTGGTGTGCGCGCCTTATGCTTGCGTGTGCGCCTTATGTTTGTTTGTGTGTGTGTGTCTTCTCCTCTGCAGGCGAGAAGAGCAGCAGGGTGTCTGAGGCTGTGTTGGTGTGTGGGGAGGAGGGCCAGTGGAACGCCATCTGGGCAAGCAAGCTCTGGCTCTGGCGTGCCAGTCAGGAGCCCACGTCACGCAAGGAGACACATCGCGGAGTCACACGAAGACGTGTGTCTGTGTATGTGCCGCTACTGCAGAGGAGTCTCTCTCTCTCTCTCTCTCTCTCGGAGACCTTGCTCATCAGGAGTATTTATTCAGAGTTGGTGTAGGTTTTCCGGGCTGTATGGCCATGTTCCAGAAGCATTCTCTATGCATCTATGGCAGGCAGCCTCAGAGGTTGTGAGGTCTGTAGGAAACTAGGAAAATTGGGTTTATGTATCTGTGGAAAGTCCAGAGTGGGAGAAAGAACTCTTTGTCTGTTGGAGATAGGTGTGAATGTTTCAATTGACCACCATGATTAGCATTTAATGGCCTGCCAGTTTCAAGGTCTGGCTTCTTACTGCCTAGGGGAACCCTTTGTTGAGAGGTGATTAGCTGTCCCTGATTTGTTTCTTGTGTGCATTTCCCCCTATTGTTGAGTGTTGTTCTTTATTTACCGTTATGATTTTACAGTTTTTTTTAATATTGGTAACCAGATTTGGTTCATTTTCATGGTTTCCTCCTTTTTGTTGAAATTGTCCACATGCTTGTGGATTTCAGTAGCTTTTCTGTGTAGTCTGACATCGTGGTTGTTGGAGTAGTCCAGCATTTCTGTGTTACCAGTGTGTGCAGGTCCTCCAGGTCCTAGAAAGGGGCCCAGCTGATGGACCAGCTGAAGCTGATAGCAAGTACTCCTGACTGTTGCATCTACCCAGGCTGACAGAAGCTGATAGCAAGTACTCCTGACTGTTGCATCTACCCAGGCTGACAGAAGCTGATAGCAAGTACTCCTGACTGTTGCATCTTCCTGGGCTGCCACCCAGAACTGTTTGACACACCTCCATCCCCAGATGAGGACCCTTGATGGCAAGCACCTCTGTTTTGTCTGGATTCAGTTTCAATTTGTTTTTCCTCAGCCAGCCCATTATCTCCTCCAGGCATTTGTCCTGAGGAGAAATGCTATCCTTAGCTGAAGCTGTTTTTGAAAGCATGGAGAAATATATTTGTGTGTCATCAGTATACTGATACATCGCCAATGTGATTCCCCCATCTGCACTCAAGTTGTCATCCATAACATTTTCTTTCCTCTAGTCTCCCATAATGCAAAGCAGACATAGAGCACTCATTCCCCCAAAAAGCACTGAAAACCCAGACCAGGCATTGCAATGAAGTGAGGTACTATTGTAGACTTATCTGCATTTCCTCGACCTTGGTAGCCACCTCTCCACAAAAGTCAGCATTGATACTGAAATACAACATTGCCTGAGCTCTGCGAGTGCAGCATTTTTCCGAATGAAGCACAGAGTGTTTGAGGACCGGGACATCCGTAGGGATACCAAAGTGCTTGTTTATAAAGCCATTGTCCTCCCAACCCTGCTATATGCCTGTGAAACGTAGACTATCTACAGACATCACATGCAGCCCCTGGAACGATTCCATCAGCATTGCCCCCAAAATTCCTGCAAATCTCTTGGAAAGACAAGCAGACAAATGTTAGCGTGCTGGAAGAAGCAAAGACTACCAGCACTGAAGCAATGGTCCACCGCCATCAACCCCGTTGGACTGGTCATGTTGTCCGGATGCCCGACCACCATCTCCCAAAGCAGTTGCTCTACTCCAAACTCAAGAACGGAAAACAGAATGTTGTGGGCAGGAAAAGAAATTTAAAGATGGGCTCAAAGCCAACCTTAAGAACTCTGGCATAGACACTGAGAACTGGGAAGCCCTGGTCCTTGAGCGCTCTAGTTGGAGGTCAGCTGTGACTAGCAGTGCTGTAGAATTTGAAGAGGCATGAATGGAGGGTGAAAGAGAGAAACATGCAAAGATGAAGGCCTGTCAAGCCAGCCCCAACCGGGACCACCTCCCTCCTGGGAACCAATGCCCTCTGCAGGAGAAGATGCAGATCAAGAATAGGGCTCCACAGTCACCTACAGACCCACCCCCCTCCCGTTTTAGCATCTCTAGCATTATATTAACTGTGAAACCCCCTTTTGGTTCCAGCCTTGGTGGTTTCCATGCAAGGATTCCATAGGATTGGCCCATGGAAGCTGAAGTGGAACAATAACTCTATAATTCTGTAGTGTGGATAGACCCTTGTTATGGCAACTAAATTCCACTAATGAGAATAGCAGGTAAATTTTCATGGGAAGATTTCAGCTCTTCCTACTACCAATTGACTTATTATGACTGGTGTCTCTCACTGGAAGTTGAGTATAAACGTGTGAGAGTAAATCTCAAGATCCTCAATATATCAATTAGTTGAAAAGGCCCAAAAGCAGACAACTTGAACAACTTGAGGTCTCTTTCTTGTGCCTCTTTTGTGAATTTCACAGGATGCTTCACAGTTGTTACTTCTTTTCAGCAGGTCCTAGGCCAGTGATGGAGTGGGGGAGAGGGATGGTGAGCAAGCGGGGACAGGATGGCCAAGTTGAGAAAGGCAACATAAAGTTCTTTAGAGGATGGTCAGAACTTCTCATGTGTCCCATCACTCTTCATCAACAGTTACCCTGTTTATTGCTCACATGAGCTAAAATTCAATTATGTGTGGAGGGTCACAGATTCCCCATCCCTAAGGTATAAGATCCCAGGTTCAGCCTCTAGGATAGGCATGGGCAAACTTCGGCCCTCCAGGTGCTTTGGACTTCAACTCCCACAATTTCTAAGAGCCAATAGGCTGTTAGGAATTGTGGGAGTTGAAGTCCAAAGCACCTGGAGGGCCAAAGTTTGTCCATGCCAGACCTCGCATCTCTAGTTAAATGGATCAGAGGCACTTAATGGGAAAGTCCTTTGCCTGAAACTCTGGTGAGTCACTGCCAGTCTAGACAGGCAATATAAGACTGAGGATGCCAACTGTATGAGGTGAGCAATCTTCAACCTTGTATCTCTACCTTGGTTGCATCAACATACTATTCTGTGGCACACTAAAAGTGAAGTCACATTATTCCTGTTACAAAAAGAAATTTGGAAGATGGAAGCAACACCATTGAATATACAATCATTACTGGGCAATGTGAGCAACATGTCTGAAAAATGAATATATTGGGGGCTTGGGGGACCAAAAAACATATTTGCCCATAT